GTATTGGTTCAATTTGGTTTCCAGACAAGCAATCGCACAATTTTCCATTTTTCACGGCCACTCCGCCTCGCATCATGTTGATTTTCTAGAGGTGAAACACCTCATACACAAAAATGAAAGCTTCCGCGCGCAACGCTGAATGTTTTAAATTTCTTACACATAGTGTGGGTGGCGCATGGCGGACGTAAAAATCCCTAAACCCTAAACCCTGAACCCTGAATCCCTAAACCCTGAGGGCTGAGCCACAAGCCCGGCAAAACCTCAGCAACCTAGGCCCTGGCCCTTAGATCTGTGCGGTAAGCAGAGAACCCAATACCCCTGAAATAGGCAGTATACCTTAAATTACGGGCCTTAACGGATCTATAAGGGTTTAGGGTGTAGGGTTTAGGAATATACCTTAAATTATAGGAGCCTTAATATTATGATTTAAGGCATATTCCTTAACTAAGGGGTATTGGGCTTTCCGGGTACAGCATCCATTCTAGTAGCGCTCATCCAAGAGCTGCTTGGAGGTCCATCCTCGCTGCCGCTGTAGCCATCCGAAGATCTTCAGCAACACTCCGCCGCTGTTGCAGGCCATTCCCCCTCGCCGGTGCTGTGACCTTTTTCTAGGAAGTTCGAAGCAGTTTCTTGAGGTTCTTGGTACCCTGAATCCCTACTTAAAGCCCCTCGGTGTTAGTCCCTCGTCGCGTTGCTGAAGCCCGGCAGAAACTCAATTCCCAAACTTTCGATCCCTACACAACTCCAAAGCTCTTGCACCCTGAGCCCGAAACTCCAAAAAACCTTCGACCTTTATCTCCTAAGCTCCCTGGAGCTCGGATCCGTATCCGGAAGTAACTGCAGGTGAACAATCAGAGCATCTATTGCGAGATGCACCTTGCATGTTAACGGGGCCTGATGTTGGGGATTTTGAGTTTTTGTGGCTCTCACAACTGGGGTGCTTGGTCAAGACAATAAGGTATCTACGTCTTTTCGTGATCACCAAAACCACGTTGCAAGGGTGCATTTCAAGCCCAGGAACAAGTTTGACGACATGATGGCCATGGTGGCAGCAACCGGGCCCTTGTCTAAGGACGTGGGACGAGTCAAACTAACTGCACTTTCTTCGGGGTGTAGGGCACATCCAAAAGACTAAGGTTAAGGCCTAGGTTTCAGGGAAGATGAGAGGTGCTGACGTCTCTGTTGGGGCAGCCCAGGCAAACAAGCCGAGTTTCTC